GCTTGTGGGCTGCATGGGAGAGGAGTGAGGGAACGCGGAGCCGGAGGGGGATATCTGCGACCAAGGGGGCTGCAAGGAGCTTCTTTGGGGGGCTGGGGTGAGCAGGTGCATTTTGCTGTGCAAATCCCCACGTGTGCCTGCAGATCTCCATGCACATCTGTAAAAATCAGAATGCACCCTTGCCAGCATCTCCATGCATGCTTGCAAAAGCCTTCCTGGGCTCTTGCATACCTGCATGCATGCTTGCAAAAATTACTTTCCACGCTTGCCGCAATTGCCGCACGCGCTTGCAGGGCTCCACGCACCCTGGCAGACCTGGCAGGCTGCAGGCCGGCGGGAGCGGGGCCCGGTGGCGCGGGGCGCGCGGCAGCTGAGCAAGCAGGAGGCCGCGGCAGCGCCGGCACCGCGGGCTGTGCCGCGGGGGGAGCGCGAGCCTGGACCTGGCATCTGTCGAATGTCACCTTAGCCAGACAGCCCGGCTTCGCCGTCTCCATATCAACCGTTCTGCTCCAGCCACCTGCGGGGGGGACGCGGAGGACTCTTTGCACGGCCCTTCCTGCTCCCGCTGGCCTCAGTTTCCCCCCGCAGCCACCAGCCCCTGTGGGCTGGGGTCGGGGGGACACGTGGCAGGGCCCCTGCCCGTGTCGCCCCGCTCGCCGTGGTGGCCGCGCAGCTGCGGAGCAGGCGGCGGGCGCCGGGGCCCAGCCCTCGCCGCGAGGCCCCTCTGCAGCGGCTCTGCACATTTTCTTGGACTGTCCCCCTGGCCGCGAGCAGATGTTCGCGCCTGCGTCCCGGTGCGGGGGCCGGCGCGGCGCCGCGTGGCCCTGCAGCCGCTCGCTGCGCGGGGGGGACACGGCCACGGGGGTCTGGAGCCCGGGGTGACGCCGCGGTGTTTGGGGGAGCGCGCCTTACGCCGGCGAGCAGTGTCGGAGCGAGCCGGGTTTTGTGCTGGAGCGAGAGGGGGACGTGCGCGTGCATGGCGTGCACAGTGTGCGTGCATGGTGTGCATGCATGTTGTGTGCGCGTGCATGGTGTGCACAGTGTGCGTGCGTGCATGGTGTGCATGCATGTTGTGTGCGCATGCATGGTGTGCACAGTGTGCGTGCGTGCATGGCGTGCATGCATGTTGTGTGCACGTGCATGGTGTGCACAGTGTGTGTGTGTGCACGGCGTGCATGCATGTTGTGTGCGCATGCATGGCGTGTGTGCACGCGCTGGGCGTGCACAGCGGGCTTGTGTGCATGATGTGCATGCACAGTGTGCCTGCATGGCGTGTGTGCATGTGTGCATGCATGGGGTGTGTGCGTGCAGTGCGCATGCATGGTGTGAATGGGTGCATGGGGTGCATGCACGCGGTGCGTGCATGCATGCTGTGCGTGCACATTGTGCCTGCATGCACAGTGTGCAAGCATGGAATGCATGCACAGTGTGTGTGCAATGCCTGCTTGCACGCACTCCCAGTGCGGGTGCACGCAGCGTGCATGCCCACACGGCGCGGCTGCATGTGATGCACGAGTGCATGTGCCGCTCAGGCAGCACAGTTGCATGCATGCAGCACACACACGCAGCACTCCGGCGCTGCATGCCTGCGCGCGGGGCCGCCGCTCGCTCCGGCCGCACTGTGACCGCGCTCCTGCGGGAACGCGCTTCCCGGGGAGGCTCCGGGTGCTCAACCGCAGCCTGGAGCCTCCCGCAGCACCGTGACCTCCTCACCCGGCCTCCTGCCCACGGGATTAGAGGCTGTTTCCTGCTCAATCGCTCCCAGAACTGGTTCCATCCTGCTTCCGACGGCGGGGGGAGGCGGCTCCGCTCCCCTTCCCGCGTCCCCCCGCGCCGCAGCCGGCTCCCCGAACCCCCCCTCCTCCCGCCCCCTCTCTGCTTTCCCGCTTTCCCATTAAAATCCTGGGGCTCCTTCGCGGCGCAGGGAGGCAACGTGGAAAATCGCTGGGAGGAAGGAGCCGAGGGCGGGAGTGATAAATATTGAAAGGGTGGGATTTCGGCGGAGGCTGCAACAGCTGTGCTGGTTACAGTGTCACACTATCTCTCCGCAGGTTTACTGACCCATTTCCATTCACTCGGCTGCCAGTATCTTAGCAACTGCAACAGTCCCCCAAGAACAGGCGGCTCGCCTGCTATTAGGGACTGCTGCAAGTGTGTCAAGGTTAGCTCGGCCCCCCGAAGCCGCCCCGAGGCGGGGTGACGGCCGCGGCCACCGGCCTCCGTGGGGATGCTCGGGGGTGGGCGCTGGGACGGGGGTGACGTCGCCCTGCCCGGCTCTGGCACCCTGGCATCGGGAGCCGGGCGTTTGCGCCGCGTCGAGGGCGCCGTTTGCTTGCAAAGCCACCCACGGACCCAAGCTGGATGGGTTCTCCCCTCCCCGCTCAGTGCTGGTGGCAATAGGGCTGGAGTTGTTAGTGCCCACCAGTGTCACGAGCGGGGACGGCCTCAGCCGCGGCCCGTCGGGCAGTGAGGGCCCGGGGGCCACTTTGTCCCCCCGCGCCGGCAGCGCCGCAGACAGCGGCTCCACACGAGCAGCACCGCGGGGACGGCTGCGAGGGAAGCCACAAAAATGATTTAAGGGGCTGGCGGGATTGATTTATTAAGAACAATTAAAAGCGCTAAATACGCTTAGCTCAGCCAGACGCCGCGCGGGGAGCTGGGGGGGGAGAGACCTGTCTGCTGGATGCGCAGGGTGAGGCTGGCGGGGCGGCGGGACCTGCGGCACGCAGCGGGGGACAGGGTGGCACCGCGCCGGGGAGAGACAACGGCACGAGGGGCAGGTGCCCCGGGCGGCATTTGCACCTGCAGCACGTTTGCACCTGCGGTGCATTTGCACCCGCACTGTGTTTGCACCCACAGTGCATTGGCACCCGCAGTGCATTGGCACCCAGGGCTGCGTTTGCACCCAGGGCTGCGTTTGCAGCCAGGCTTGGGTGTGCACCCATAGCCAGACCTGCACTGGGACTTGTCTTTGCACCCAGGGATAGTTTGCACCTCAGGTTGCTTGGACGCCCACCTCGCATGGGCACCCAGGGTTGCTTTGGCTTCCTGGCCGTGTCTGCAGCCAGGCAGGGGGGGTAAGGGGGGACACGAGGTCCCGTCAGCACCGAGCCAGGTACCGGGTGGCCAGTGTGACCAGTGGGCTCTGCTGGCCCCCCATGCACTGCCTTGCATGGGGGAGCCGAGGGACTGGTGGCTGGGGGCACCAAGACCCCATTTCGCCCATTGGGAAGCCGCTCCCAGGCGGAATTGCTGCAGAGGCCGCATCCCACTCCAAGCTGTCACCATGCGGGGACCCTGTCTGTGCCCTGCGCCACGGGCTGCATCGGCATGCGCGGGCGCGCGCGGCCCATAAAGCGGCTCCGGTGCAGGATTTATCCCGGCGGGCGCCTTGCAAAGGCCGTAAATCGCCTCCTGCGCCCGCGGGGCCGCAGCAGGAGGGAGCCGAGTGTCCACGTCCGCCACGCGGCCCCCGCCACCACCGTCCTCGGGGAGCAGGTGCTGCATCGCGTGCATCGCCTCAAGTGTCACCTCCCCGTGTCCCTGATGTCCCCAGGGCTGCGGTGGTCTCAAGGTGACTCGCCCAGCCCAAGGGTGCGGGGTGGTGGCGGAGGCAGAGGCTCCCCGTGTTGGGTGCCGCGGTGCCGGGCGCCCGAGGGTTAACGGGACTGTGCTGCTCCCGCAGGTAATTAGTGACATCCTCAGCTCGGTGACATCCTCTGCTGGGTGACATCGCTGCTGGGTGACACGGGCTGCCCGCTCGCTCGCCGCCCCCCGCGGCCGCCCCCGTCCCGGCGCCCCCGCCGCCTCCCCGTGCCCCGGCCCTCTCGCTGCCGCAATTGCCATTCTGCCCGGAGCAGCCGGCTCCCCTCGCTGCCCTCTGACCCGCCGTTGCTGTGGCAACTGCATCCCACGTCGGATTACGGAGCCTGAATCCGCCGGCTCCGAGCTGCCGGCCAAAGCCGCCCAGGGCCCAGGCGTCCTGGGGGCCGCGTGCTGCGGCGGGACCCGCAGGCGCGCGAGGCTGCAAGCCGGGAGCAGAGCACGCGGGCAGGACGCCTGGGCCCCGGCTTTGCACCTGTGCCGGGTGCCACGGGCACGGCTCGTGTGCCAAATCGCGTCCCCGAAGCCACCGTGGTGCTGGGGGTTGAATTAAGGGACAAGCTGCCTGCGGACACTGGCTTCCTCCTGCACCCGTGCTGGGTTGCAGCACCCAGCACGGGGGTCCCAAAGGCACCCTCAGCGCATGGGCATCTTGGCAATCCCAGGAATGGGGATTAGGGCCGTGCCATGAAATCCGGAGAGGTGGTAACGCAAGGAGGAGCACGAGGAGTGCGCGGAGCAGCCCCACCGCCTGCATCCGCATGAGCTGCAAGCAAGCGCGCTGCCCCGGCTACGTGCAGGGCTGCGGCCGATGCTGCTGCTGCAGTGCTGCAGAGCCTGCTGCACACAGCGTCCTTCATGCCCTGCCATGCACTGCAGCGTCTGCTGCATGCAGTGTCCTGTGCATCCTGTCATGCACTGCAGCACCGCAGCGCCTGCTGCATGCAGCATCCTGTGCACCCTGCCATGCACTGCAGCACTGCAGAGCCTGCTGCATGCAGCATCCTGTGCACCCTGCCATGCACTGCAGCACTGCAGAGCCTGCTGCACAGTGTCCTGTCATGTGCTGCAGAGCCTGCTGCATGCAGCATCCTGTGCACCCTGCCATGCGACACAGCACTGCAGAGCCTGCTGCGTGCAGTGTCCTGCACACCCTGCCATGCACTGCAGTGCTGCAGAGCCTGCTGCATGCAGTGTCCTGCACACCCTGCCGCCCCGGCGCCACGGTGATGGGTGCCCAGCCTGCAGGAACCTCCCGCCTCGACCGCCCCCAAAGCAGCTCCCCAAACCCCACGGCTGCATCTGTGTGCGACGCGGTGCGAGCTGCGCCGTGCCTCGGTTTCCCCCGTCGTGCACAGGCCGGCTCCTTGCGCGCCGGCTCGGGTGCATCTGCGCCGATGGCGCCGCTGTCACGGGCGCTCTCGTTAGGATGGGGCTCCACGGCCCTGCCGGACGCGGCTCTGGCGAGCGAGGCATCCTTCAAAGGCAGGCGCTCTGTCAACGCCCCGCAGCAGCTGCGTTCTCCTCAATTAGAAGAGGTAATGAAGCAATTTATGGGCATCTACAAAGTGATGTGTGAGTGACAGGCTGTGTACGAGCCGCGCCGGGGCTCTGCCGGCAAGTTGTGTTCTTCCAATTTTAATGGCAAGCTCCCCAGCAGAAGGAAATATATATATATATATATATATATATATATATATATATATATTTGTAGGTGTGTGTGATAGAAGCTCCTAATCACGACCCGAGGCGCAGGGGTGGTGGCGAGTTGCCCTGCGGCCCTGCTGGGTGTCCCGGTGCCCCGGTCCCTCTTGGCACGGTGGTAACCGGAGCCGGGTGGCAGCTGGGTGGGAGCTAGTGGGGCCGTCCAGGATGCCGGGGCCCCTTGGGAGGGTGGCTACGGGCAGCCGATGCCATGTGGAGCAGCCAGGGATTCTGGTGCGAGGGCTCGCTGGGTTGGCACCCAGAAAGAGGCTTGCACAGGGATGGCTGCATGCACGGAGCGCGTGTGCACCTACCTGCAGGGGCATGTGTGCACACGGGCACCTGCAGCGTGCCCGTGCCCTGCACACGCGTGTCCCCTTGCACACGTGGGACACATGTCCCCATGCACATGTGGGGTGCATGTCCCCATGCACACGCGAGGTGTGTGTCCCAATGTGCACGTGGAGAGCGTGTCCCCAAGCACAGGCGGGATGCGTGTCCCCATGCACACGTGGGGAGTGTGTCCCTGTGCACGTGTGAGACGTGTCCTGTGCACACGTGGGGAGCATGTCCCCATGCACAGGCGGGATGCGTGTCCCTGTGCACACGCAGGGTGCATGTCCCCGTGCACACAGGACGTGTGTCCCCCACAGACCCCCACACATGGGCACCGCTGGCCCTGGCGCTGGCGCCTGCAGCCCCCGTGCGCTCCGCAGCGCGAGGCTGCCCGCTGCCCCTGGCACCCCGAGCACCTGCGCTTTGGCGGCGGCCCCGGCGCCACCCACGTCCCCAACCCCGGCCCCGTGAGCGCCCAGGGCACAGCGGCTGCGCCCGGCGCTTCCACCCATCTCGCGGGGGGCTCCGCAAAACCCCCTCCCCAACACCCGCCCGCCACAAACCCTCCTTTCGGCTGGAGACGGTTGCGAACCGCGGCCCAACAGGGTCCTCAGGTGCCCCCCGGATGGGGTGTCACCGGCACCGGGGTGCCGCGGTGGCCGTCCCCGCGGCGGCGGCGCCCGCGCAGCGCTAGCCCTCGCGGCGGGCGCGCGTCCATCTGGCACCGGCCAAATGTTACCGGCCTCGCACAGAGCTCTGGGGACGGGGATCGCGCCCGGTGCGTTTCGGGGAGGTGCCGGGGCACCCGGCGAGCACGGGGGGATGGAGCTGGGGTGGCCGGAGCTGGAGCTTGTGCCTATAGAGGGGAGCAGGGGGGGCTGTGGCCATCTGCGTGGCCTCAGGCCTGCCGGGCGGGGGACACTGGGGGCCACCCGTGCCCCGCGGTGACACCCCAATGTGCGGGGGCGCGGGCGGCTGCACGCTTGCCGCACGCCGGGGCGGCGGGGGAACAAAGCTGGCACCGAGGGAAGCGGCTAAATTTAGCCCATTTCCCGGCTCGCTCCGGGCTGCGGCTCCGGGCTGCAGGCGGCCGCGGTGCCACCGGCGCTGCCGTCCATCTGTCGCCCCGTTTCACAGCGCCACCTCCCCGGCCCGGGCAGGGGGGCGCCCGCAGACCCCGCGTGGGGACGGGGACGTGTTGGGACAGGGGGCTGCGTCCTCGGCGATGTGGGGCTGGCGGGAGGACCTGTCTGCAAGGAGCATCGGCGAGCTCCGCAGCCCCGCGGCAGCTTCTGTCACCCAGGCTTGTGGCGTGGGGACATGGCCCTTGCAGGGGACACGGTCCGGGCAGGGGCACGTGCTCCTTGCAGTAGGAGCTGTTTGCTTGCAGAGGACAAGTTTCCTTGCGGCGGGAGGTGCTTCTTGCAGTGGGAGATGGTTTCTTGGAAGGGGAGATGGTTTCTGGCGGCGGGAGGTGCTTCTTGCAGGGAAGGTTCTTGCAGGAGGAGACGGTTTCTTGCCGAGCAGCTAATCCGTGCGGGGGGAAATGGGTTGTTTTTCTTGCAGTGGGAGCTGGTTCCTGCAGGGGAGAGGTTTCCTTGCAGGGGAGAAGGTCCTTGCAGCGGGAGCTGGTCGTCGCAGGGGAGGCGGCGGCCGCCGGGGGAGATGGCTCTTGCAGGAGGAGGTGTTTGCTTGCAGGGGAAATGAGTTTTTTTGGCACGCAGGGGTGGTTCTTGCAGAGGACGGTGGTTTCCTGCGCGGGGAGGCGGTTTCTTGCAGCAGCCGGCGTGGGGGCTGGCCGGGCCTCCCCCCTCCGGCCTCCCCGAGGGCTCCGGGGGGGCCCAGAGCTGAGCCCAGCAGCCCCCCCGCTGGCTCGGGGCCCCCCCAGGCTGCTCGGAGCTGGCAGAGGGGCCGGCGGGTGTCGTGGCGGCCGCGGCGCGTGGGGCCGGCGGCAGGAGCGGGGCCGAGCGCCGGCTCTGCAGCACCGCGGTGGCAGCGCTCGGGGACACGGCCGTCCCCGCTGTCCCTCCCCGCGCGGTGTCAGAGCTGCTTTGGGGACGGCGTCCCGGCTGACTGCGCCAGCCCCCGCGGTGCCAGCTCCTGTCCCCAGCTGTCCTGGCACTGGCAAGGAGGAGGAGGAGGAGGAGGAGGAAGGAGCAGGCGGCTCTTGGCGGGAGCCCGATGCCAAGGGGCCGCCTGCAGAGCGAGGAGGGTGAGGACCAGCTTGGGGACAGTGCTGAGGGCCAGGCTGGGGACAGGGTTGGGGACCAGATGGGTCCCTCCCGGCTGCACCGGGCTCAGCTGCCGCATCCCCCCGTCTCGGTTCCCCTGGGCCCTGTGGGGCAGCCCCAAGGACCCGCCGTGGGGGGGCTGTGCCACACACGTGTCCCCAATCCCGGGGGCCTCCTCATGTGGGGGGGTCCTGCCCGGCCGCCCCCCGCGTGGCGCAGGGAGGAGTCGGCCTCGGGGTCTGGCCGGGGAGCCCAGGACGCCTGGGCCCGCCTGCCAGGAAGCCGCCACCGGAGGGGATTTTCCATTGGTGTCAGCAGCCCGGCTCTGCAGGGAATGGCGGGGCGGGGGGGCGGGAGCCTGCGGGACGTGGGGCACAGAGGGGACATTGCGGGGGCCACATGGGGGTAGGCACTGCCACGGTGTCCCCAGGCAGAGATGTGCAAAGGGGGCCCCCCCAGTGCTTCCAGATTGCGTGTGTGCAAGGGGGAGATGTCCCCATGCTGTCCCCAGACACATGCGTGCAAGGGAGAGATGTCACCACGGTGTCCCCAGGCATGTGTGTGCAAAGGGAGGATGTCCCCATAGTGTCCCCAGACATGAATGTGCAAGTGAGAGATGTCCCCATTGTGTCTCCAGACATGTGTGTGCAAAGGGAGGATGTCCCCATGGTGTCCCCAGACATGTGTGTGCAAAGGGAGGATGTCCCCATGGTGTCCCCAGACATGTGTGTGCAAAGGAGGCACCCCCGTAATGTCCCCCACGGTGTCCTCAGACGTGCGTGTGCAAGGGGGAGATGTCCCCCTGCTGTCCCTTGGCACATGCGTGCAAGAGGCACCTCTGTAATGTCCCTCTGGTGCACACCAATGCACCTCTGGTGTCCGCAGACGTGTGTGTGCAAAGGGGAGATGTTGCCATGGTGTCCCCAGGCATATGCAGGCAAAGGCAGGATGTCCCCACGCTGTCCCCAAACACATGCGTACAAGGGAGCACCCCTGTGACGTCCCCAACAGTGTCCAAAGACACGCGTGTGCAAGGCAGGCTCCTCCACAGCGTCCCAGTCCCACGAGGTGCCCGGGCCACATCCACGTGCACACACGTGTCCCCAGGCGCGGGTGTCACTGGGGGCGCCGCGCGCGGGCGCTTGGGGACACAGTGTGTCCCCCGCGCGGGTGGCAGCCGGGTCCCCGCCGCCCGCCTGTCTCCCGGTGCCATCTCCGGCCCCACCCGGTGTCTGGGTGGCCGCGGAGCCGGGCACCAAACCGCAACCGTGTCCCCTCTGCGGAGCAGGGGGGGCGACAAGAGGGGGCCAACCCCCCCCGGCGGCCTCAGCGAAGCCGGGGAGCTGCTAAACTAATTAAAGCGTTTTGAGCAGCGGGATTAACGGGGGGGCGCGGGGCCAGGTAGGCGATTGGCGCCGCGGGCGCTGCTATTGGATTTCTGCGTGGCGAGTCAGCACAATCCGGGGGCCGCCAGCGGCTCCGGGTCGGGAGGTGGGAGCCGAGGTGACCGCCACCCCCCCGCTGCGCTCGCCTTCCTCCGCTGCCTTCCTCTCCTCCTCCTCCTCCTCGTCAGCGGCTGCCCCCCGCCCCGCGGCTCCCGCGCTGCTCCCTGCAGCCCGGCGCTCTTGTGTGTGGTCTCTGCTGGTGTTTTGTAACCAGCCAGGGGAAAAAAAAAAAAAGAAAAAAAGAGGAAAAAAAAAAAGGGAGGAAAAAAAAAAAAAAGGGAAAAAAGGCCGGCCCTGCCCCTGGCTAGCAACCCAGGAATGGCGAGGTCCGGAGTGCCTAATGCGAAACATGTGGCGGCAGCCTGGGGCTGAGCAGGGGAGGTGAAAGTGAGCGCCGCGGCGCGGCCGCCCGCGTGGCCCCGCGCCCCGGTCCCCTCCTCGCCGCGGACGGCAGGGGTGCCCGGCCGGGAGATGCGGCCGGGAGCTGCCCCACGGATGGGGCAGCGCCGCGGGGCACGTGGCTGGTGCCACCCTGCCGGGTGACGCGGCTGTCCCCGGTGTGTCCCTTTGCTCCTGCTTCGCCCACGCGGCCGCCTGCTGCACACCTGGCAGCGCCAGCACCTGCCCCGGGCACCCCTGTGGCACCGCCAGGCCCTCGGGAGCACGCTCGGGCGCGCTTGTGGCACCGTGAGCGTCATGGGAGCGCGTTCGGGCATCCTTGTGGCACCCTGAGGCTCGCAGGAGCCCACTCGGGCACGTTTGTGACACTGTGAGTGTCACAGGAGCGCGTTTGGGCATCCTTGCAGCACCGTGAGGCTCACAGGAGCCCGCTCGGGCGCACTTGTGGCACTGTGAGCGTCACGGGAGCACTCTTGGGCACGCTTGTGGCACCCTGAACATCACAGGAGCCACTCTCGGGCGCGCTTGTGGCACCGCCAGGCTCGCAGGAGTGCTCTGGGGTGCACTCGTGGCACTGTGAGCATCACGGGAGCGCTCTTGGGCACGCTTGTGGCACCACCACGTTCACGGACACACACTCACACACGCTGGTGGCACCGGGAGCATCACGGGCACGCAGTGGCACACGCCAGTGGCACCGCCAGGCTCGGGGCATGTACTCACACACGCCGGTGGCACCGCCAGGCTCGGGGCAGCAGGGCCGCAGCGTGGCCCGGCGCCGCGTGCAGCAGCCTGTGCGGCGCGGCCCGGCTGCCGGCGGCTCCTCTGGAAAGCCTCCCGCGCGCTTCCTTCCTGCCTGCCGCCCCTCCAGGCGCGCGGCTGCGGGCAGCTCCAGCGGAGCCCAGACCGGTCTTTCGAGCGCATATTTTCCTGCTCCGTGCTGCCCTCGCTGTAACTCTACACCGCGCGGGCGGCCGGGCCGCGGTGTCTGTGCCGCGGTGCCAGCGCCGGGCGGCCGCGGAGGGGGCGGCGGCCGCGCTGCCAGGTTGGAATTCTCCTTCCGTGCCTCGCTGATAAGTTGTCACGCTAATCCCGAGCCCAGGAAGAGCCTGGAGCTCGCGGCGCGGGTGGGAATGTGCGTGCGCTGGGGGAGGAGGAGGGAGCGCGCTTGGATCTGCGGCGGCAGCAGCCAAGCGTGCGGGCATGGCCGGAGCGCGCAGCCGGAGCGCCCCGCGGTGCGGGGCCTGGAGCACCCCGGGGTGACACGTGAGCCAACGTGCAAATGTGCATGCACCCATGTGCAAACGTGTGTGCACCCACGTGCAAATGTGCATGCACCCACGTGCAAACGTGTGTGCACCCGTGTGCAAATGTGTGCCCCACAGCCGGATCGGGGCAAGGAGGAGGGCAGCGAGGGGCGCCCGCGTTGCGCGGAGGGCGCGGGGACATGCAGGGCCTCGGTGCCAGCCCCGCGCGGGTCTCTGCTTCCTTGCGCAGATGGGAGCTCGCTCGCCGGCCAGCCCGTCGGAGCGGAGAGCGGCGCCAGCGCGGCAGCCGAGCGGCCCCCGCGCGCCCACGGCCCCCGCCAGCCCCCCAGCGACGGCGACGGCGCCCCGGGCGGCTGCCAAGTGACCCTGCTCTGCAAGCAGCCGTGGCCCAGGTACGGGGACCGCGGTGGCGGCCGCGGGCGGCCCCGGCACGGGGAGCTCCAGGTGGCCTCGCTCTGGGGGTGGGGGCGCCCGGGGGGCTGCGCAGCCCCTTGCAGGCAGTGGTGGGGGGCGGGGGGGCGGCCGGGTGGCCCCCCCGGGCGCTCGCAGCACAACCGGCGCCTTTGATCGCCGCGGGCGCCAGGGCCGTTCCCAGGGATGCCGACCCCGCGGGCTGCACATCTGGCCGGGCGTTGCCTGGCGACGGCAGCTGTGCGGCGGGGTGGGGGCGGTGACACGAGGTGGCGGCGGAGCGGGGGGACACAACGTGGCCGGGCGGTGGAGGGGGGAAGGAAGCGGGGCCGGGCGGGGGGCCGTTGGGTCCGGCCGTGGGGACAGCGCCCGGCCGTGCCCGGCGGCCCTGCCAAAGCGCTGAGCTCACTTCCTGCACCGCGGCCGCCTGCCATGCGCCGCCGCGCCGGGCACGGGGCGGCCTCCGCGCTCCCGCGCCCTCCTGCTGTCCCCCCGGGCTCCCCCTGTGCAGCCGCCCCCGTCCCACGTGCACAGGGGGCATGCGGGGTCCCCAACATGGGGGTCCCCCTGTCCCTGTAGGCCACGACGTCCCCACGGTCGGGGTGGCTCCAGAGCCTGCACTGCGCCCTGTATCCCAAGGAGCGGGTGACAGGGGGACAGGAGGGATGGGGACCCCCCAGCTCCAGCTGGCCCCAAACCGGGAAGCAAGGTGGCCCCACAGAGCGAAGCAGCCCCCCGGGTGTCATCGGTGGCGGGACAGTGCGTGGCCTCCGCGCTCCATCTGTCCCCGAACAAAGAACTTTCCTGCCCTGCTCCCCGTCC